AATCGGAACGTTTCTCATGCGGCTTCCAACATATACATATATATATATATACATAGTCGTTAATGGAACTCTCAGGCCAACAAAGGTGCACCGCGCCAGGAGGATCAATAAAGATTCGCAGTCCAAACCTCACAGCCAACACGAACGTAGAAAGTTTAAAAAATTGCGAGGATGGACAACTTCTGACGTAAAAAATATAAAAAATTTTAATAAAAAACGTTTCGGTCAGAGACCTTCTTCAGTTATTTACAACTTTTGAAATAAAAAAAGAGCATTAAATAGGATCGAAGTGCTAATGATTACGTAATTACAGATAACGACTAATGAACTGGTGCTAATAAACAAAAAACCTAATTACAAAGAAAGCAATGGACAAAATACAAGAAACAAACCCTAAAAACTAAGAGATAAGAATACTAAATATGTTAATATGAGTGGCGTAATCAATTGCAAAGAAGCAATGCGGCGAGCATTAAAAAAGGGAAGGCCCACTTTTTACTACAACTGTAAACCGTAACAAAATCCCAAAACAAGGACTTTGGAGCCCGAAAGGGCAAATTAGCAACAAAATCCGTGGAGGGGCCCTTAAATAATACTAATCATATAAGATCCCTTGGCAGGGCCTCTGAGTCCAATCCACACCTAAAGGGCCGACAAAATCCAAGAAAAGGGCCTAAACAATTGCAAAGAAGCAATAGGCAAATTTGCTACAATTAATTTTCCATCTTATATTAGGCGCTACTAATTGATCGTTCAATATTAACGTATTTAGTATTCTTATCTCTTAGTTTTTAGAGTTTGTTTCTTGTATTTTGTCCATTGCTTTCTTTGTAATTAGGTTTTTTGTTTATTAGCACCAATTCATAAGTCGTTATCTGTAATTACGTCATCATTAGCACTTCGATCCTATTTAATGCTCTTTTTTTATTTCAAAAGTTGTAAATAACTGAAGAAGGTCTCTGACCGAAACCTTTTTTATTAAAATTTTTTATTTTTTTTACGTCAGAAGTTGTCCATCCTCGCAATTTTTTAAACTTTATATATATATATATATATATATATATATAGTAAAATTTTTAAAGATAGTCTATGATAGATTTTATGGGTTTTAGTTGTTGCAATTTTTTAAACTTTCAACGTTGGTGTTGACTGTGAGGTTTGGACCGTGAATCTTTATTGATCCTCCTGGCGCGGTGCACCTTTGTCGGCCTGAGAGTTCCATTAACGACTATGTATATATATATAGATATATATATATATATATATCTATATATATATATCTTGGAAGCCGGATGAGAAACGTTCCGATTTATTAACTTTTGAAAGCGTAAACTAACAGAACAAACGTATCACACTCCACTCAAACGAAGACCTTAACTGTTTGAAGAGGGATTCGCCTTCCACTTTCTTGTTCTCTTTCAATACAAACAGGTTGTGTAGCACCACTTGGCATGGACAGCGGAGCAATCACCGATGCACAGATAAGTGCTTCTTCTCAGTGGGATGATAATCATGCGGCCAGGCAAGGAAGGTTGCATTTTAAGAGAGTTTTCGGCACCTCCGGTAGTTGGTCATCACGTAGAAATGATTTAAACCAATGGTTTCAAGTGGATCTTGCTCAATATACTACAGTAACTGGTATAGCGACCCAAGGCAGAAATCATCCATGGATAGACCAGTACGTAACAGCATATAAGTTACAGTATAGTGACGATGGAGTATCTTTTCAGTTTTACAAGGAGACGCCACTCGAAGCTGAGAAGGTATACCTTTATAGTCACATTGATTCTACCTTTATTCTGTCTTCCAGGAAGCTTAATTGTTTGGGGGGAAGGGTGAGGGTGAGGTCTTTAGAAAT